TCTCCTATACAGACCCAGGGTGAGTCTGAGTGAGATGAAGGCAGCTGCCCGGAGGGAGGCAGGCTTTGCCCAGTCAGGCTCTGAGATAACATTACCTTCTGGCTTTTGTTTGATATCTAGTATCTGCAAAACACACACTTCTGATCTACCGTTACCATTTACAGCCAGCATTAGCTCGGAGGGGTAACTTGGCTTGTCCTGCTGAACTCTATTCAAACTCTCAAACTCTATATGGAAAAAAAAAGGGATGATTAGTTGAATGTTTGAGTGACATTAGCCAGACAGCCCTCGAAACCAGACTGCTGCTGGAAATCACTACCTTCAGTATGAATAAATGAAGTAAGTACAATGACATTTGATACGATACTCTTAGAACAACTAATCAAGGATCGGCTCTGAGACCCATCTTGCTGCAGCGATGGACAGGTTGACAGACGAGATCAGGCAGGAGTCTGTGGACTGTAATGTTCACGGATGACACTGTAATCTGTAGTGAGATTAGGGGGCAGGTTGAGGAGAGCCTGGAGAGGTGGAAGTACGCACTGGGGAGAAGAGGAATGGAAATTGGTTGGATCAAAATAGAATATATGTGTGTCAATAAGCGGGAGCAGAATGGTGAGGATAATACTTGAGTCAACTGTCCAAAGTAACAGTGATTGGGGAAGAGAGGTGAAAACGAGATTGCAGGCATGGTGGAGTGGATGGAGAAGAGTGTCAGGAGTCATTTACGACAGATGGGTCCCAGCAAGAGTGAAAGGGAAGGTTTACAGTCGTGACACCAGCAATGTTGTATAGTTTGGAGGTGGTGGCACTGATGAAAAGACAGGAGGTGGAGCTGGAGGTCGCAGAGTTGAAGATGCTAAGATTTTTGCAGGGAGTGACGAGGATGGACAGGATCAGGAATGAGTATACGAGATGGTTTGAGAGAGGTGAGATTGAGATGTGCTGGATATCTCGGGAGAAAGATGCTGAAAATGGAGCTGCCAGGTAGGAGGAAAAGAGGAAGGCCGAAGAGGAGGTTTATTATAGATGTGGAGAGGGAGGACATGCAGGTGGCTGGGGCGATAAAGGAAGATGCAGAGGACAGGAAGAGATGGAAACACATGATCTACCGTTGCAACCTAACGGGAGCAGCTGAAAGAAGAGGGAGGATTCTCAAAACTGCTCCGAACAACAGAATGCCAATCACTGTAAGAATAAAGTAATTATGGAATCCAAAAGCTTTTTGCAACAAGTGAAAATGTATCTCTATAAGGACATGGATTCTAACAGAGAGGGAAAACTTCCTGGGTTTTGTGCACTAAGAAGAAGACAAAGCCTGTGTTGTGATCCTGCTTTGAAACACAACTTCCCCATTTGTAACAGTGGAAGTGAGGCCAGTCATCCTGTAGCTGGCATGTTAGTGACAGTGAGACTTCTGGCTGTTTATTTTGCTCAGTGATGCCTCTTCTCAGTCATCACCCCGACAGCAAAATACGAACGCCTCAGTGGGTGAATGTGTGAATGTATTTGCATCTCGCTGGTTGGACACACAGTGAAGACACAGCTCTGTCAATCTTGAGTAACCATGGAAATCATCCTCATTTACAGGAAAATATATCTTAGCTTCATATTTGTGTCATTTCTACACTCATGTGGTTAATTAACTGATGCGAAATACAAAACAGGGAAAGCCAGGAGTAGTCTTATATTGCCTCAGTAAGATTTCCTTGGTAGAGGTTGAGGCATCAGAGTCAAAAAACAAAGTGTGTTGCACTGAAAGATGTCATCCTAAAGCGGGGGTAGGCAGTTTTATTTTGGCGTCATTCCAAAATAACCTTTGAGCATTTTGTAATTCAAGTGAACTGAGAGAAAACGAGACTGCTGCACCTCTTCTTGGCTTTTGAAAAATCTAGCTTGTGGCAGGAGGCTTTGGCCAATTGCAGGTCATTTCACAGAGAGGGCGTTCCTATTGGCTGCTCTACAAATGCAGATGCGCATGCATGTTCTTTAGTGAAAAACTGATTCAATGGCAAAGAGTTGCTATTCCAGCACTGGCAACAACTGCTTACACTGCAAAGCAACCCCCAGAAAGAAGATGGACATATCAAAAAGAGAGCTTAAAAGAGAGTTTGACAATAAATGAAAGAAAACACAAGTCAATATTGCTGAGGTGTTTCAGAGATGGACAGAAAATGCTGCTAATAGTTTAGCGTTTTGCTAACCAGAGCTAGTAGCTCATGGCAGAGGCTTCAAGTTCACATTTCTGTAGCTAACGTTAGCTAGAGCCTTGAATCACAGTGTGTCCTGCGCATCACTCCCCACTGCTACAGATCACCTCACCAGTAGAGCTTAGATCGGGCCAAAAAATCCAGCCCGACCCGACCCGAGCCCGTGCACGTTATGTCCGGGACCGGCCCGACCCGTCCAATTAACTGTAATTATGGGCCCGAGCCCGATTTAAACCCGACATTTTTCAATAAGTTGGCTGTTATAATTAAGAGTATTAAACCACAAGTCTTGTTATTTGAATGACAGAAACATAGGATCTTAATAAATGGCATAACACGGAAGCATGATTATGTAATAAAACAGGTGTTTATTTTAGGATCCAGGTGGTGAAGGGCTGTGCATGCACAATGTTGCAACATTGTAACTGAGGGCCGAATTCACAAAAGGATTGCGTGGCTTTTGCGGCCGCTAAACCAGTAAAAATTCACAAAGCACGCGCAGAGGGTGAAATGCTCAACTAACTGCACTGACAAGCAGATTTCTATGCAAATCAGCCTCACTGATAAACAATGTCTAATTCACTAACACCAGCGCTAATAGCCACAAGCAGTTTGAGTGAAGTAAATGACGTCTTTAGAAAGCTGGTGCAAACTGGGCGCTCCACTGTGGAAGCCTCTCACCCAGACTTTCCAGTGATCGTGGCAGCAGTGATCGTCTGTTAAATCAGTCTGTAAATAATATTTTGACATTATTATTATAATCATTATTAGCCTACTTTAATGGCATCCGAAGATATTGATGTGTTGAACAGGTGACTGCGGTCGTTCTCAAAACGCACTTCTGTCACGCACTTCAAAAGCAACTTTCAATAATTTATTTTACGAAACGGGGGAAACAAACGTGAACAAAAATGGTTCCATAATTCATATTAAATTCAAAAGATAATGAAAAAACAGCTACAAGTGAGAGGGAATAGTGATAAAGTGGTCAAACTTGGTCAAATTCACAGCCTCAACCCATCCGACACTGTTAGACTGACTCACCAGCAGACATCACTACATGAGGGTATACAGTATTCAGTACTTTGCCAAACAAAGTCTGCCATTGTTCTGCCACGGTGTTCTTGGCGCAAAGCCAGCATTTATACTTTGCCATGTGTGGCTTATTGCAATCAGGAGCAAATCAGGGGCAAATCAGGGGCAAATTGCACTCAGCTGCCAAACTTTGTGGGCGTGTTTGCGCTGGTATATCATTAGCACAGTATCCTTTGTGAATAGGAAATTAAGAAGGAGCAAACTGCAGGTGCAAGTGAAGTGCAATTCAAGGTGCTATCAGCGGCCGCAGTTCATTCTTTGTGAATTCGGCCCTAAGTTTGTTGTAACTTTAGGCTATGTGTCATACAAAGTGTGGTTTAATTTTATTTTTTATAATACTGTAGCGTCCACCAGGACGTATGGAAAGGATGACACAGTTATTCTGCAATTAAACTACCGTTTATTACTGAACAGTACAGTTTACTGTTGGCCGTACCACGCCAAAACAACCAACAAACAACAACTTAGCTGTAACTCCATCTGTGCACTCCTGCTCTCTCCTCCAGCTCGGTCATACACACACCAGCACGAGCACTCACACAGCCCTCCTCATCCCAGTCACACTCGCACCCCACACCTCATTCAATCCCAAACATGCCATTAACTCACAGAACATTGACATTACAACAGAACATTTACTGCAGGGTCGCTACAATACATAGCCTATAACATTATCAAATCATAGCTTTAAAAAATAAAAAAAAAAGGTCATATCTGACCAGGCCCGGCCTGGGCCTGTCAGAGGGAGGGGGGCTCCCGGCCCGACCCGGCTTGGGCCCGCGGGCCAGGTCGGGCCGGGTTTGGACTCAGGCAGAGAATCTAAGCTCTACTCACCAGGAGGAGAGTGGGCCTCTACTCCAGAGACTAACCCCCCTGCCAGCAGCCACAGCAATTGAAATCCAGCTAGCGCAAACCCCAGTGCCAGGGTATCACACAGCCCTGACTGACCTCCAGATCAGAAAACTTTCTGTTGCTGCTGATACACTGGCCAAATCCAAGCTGCTACAGCTGCTGAGCCCTGCCCCTCCCAGTAAAGCAGTCCACAGTGGTGTGGAAAGAGGTGAAGGGGTTGTACAAATTCTTGTCTGATTTGTGGTCTGATGATGAACAGAGAGAGCAAGAAGAGTGAATGCAATTAAATCAGACTCAGTAAATAAGTGCATGGGAAACACTAGGGTACTGTATGAAGTGTGTGTTCATGGTCATCTGATAGGAGGGGTGATTAATGCACACATACTAGATTACGTACATCTTACAAAAAATTAATCATGAATGATAAAATCATTTTCATGGAAAGTTTGATCAGCCCCAAAACAACATATTCAGTAGGATATTTGTGTTAATTATCACTCAAAGTTGGCTTCTGTGAAGTATTCTGTATTGATTTATGTATTGACACTTATTTGTAATCACAGTGTATGTATGACATCTTGATAGAGATACAGAGTATTGAGGTTGTAATTATCTCTGCCTCAGTTTACTGGAAAAAAAATAGCAATGGACACAGAATAACTGAATGCTTTGTGAGTCTGATCTTATATATAACATCTGTGGGATCCATCCGTCACCTCTGTGAGTCTACCAGGAGAGGGAGACAGCAGACTGGTATTCTCCAACATTAATGTACAATGATATCTGGGCAAATGTCTTTCTAGCTGATGACTGTAGGAGTGTGTGTTTCTGAGATATACGTACTGGTAACAGTGAGTACATTAGTCTTGACCTCAGCGGTGATCTGGAGGCGACCTCTCCTCTCAGTGTGGTCTGTCCCACACAGGCTCGGCACATTGGCCACACAGCGCTTGTGGATGTTCATCATACAGTCTGGAAAACACACACACACACGCACATGTATTTGTAATGTTATTTAACTGTGTGTCTGACCTAATAAGTAAAATAAGTGGATGTGTGTGTGTGTTGTAGAGTACATACGGTCACATCTCATGCCCTGGTGTAAGAGGCCGTAGAGCAGAGAGCCACAGTGGTCGCAGAAGGTCGGGCTGGAGTAGGTGTGGATCTTAAACTTATGCTTTGCCCTGGGGTCCTGGAAGGAAAAAAGAAAGTAATTAAGTAAGTTAGTAAGTAAGAAAGAAAGCAGGGGATTGTAATATGAATCATTTAAATCTACATTCAGTCACATCTCCTGCCTTCTGCTACTTAGTGCATTAGACAGAAGGAAGCGTCATTCAGAATAAAGCAATGGACATTTTGTCAAACATTTGTTGATGTGGCTGTACACACATTTTGTCTGTTTACCATCTGTGCATCTATCTATTTAAAAAAATAGTGAATCAATGTCTGCCACATAACTGTCAGTTTCCGTGGTCTTCTATCACACTGGGTTTTATTCATACAAATCTTTAATACACACCTCTAAATCCCTCCATCTTAGTCATCACCTTCCACTTTGTGCACATTCTGTATACAGACGATATAGCACTTATAATCCAGCCCTACGTCCTAACTCGTGTCTTTTAGCGGGCATCTGCATTGTAATCTGACCAAGATGAGTTACATCCCAATGTCTTTATTCACATCAGTTTGTGAAGACTACAAAGGCAGCTACATGGATGACCCCTGTGTGTGTGTGTGTGTGTGTGTGTGTGTGTGTGTGCGCATGCAATACAGCTCTGTATGGAGTCAGTCTTCCATGAAGATTGTTAAAGCCCCATTGAATTCAAACATAAACGGAGATACAGTGCAAGAGTTCGCATCAATCAAACACACACACACACACACACACACACACACACACAATGTTTGTATACAGTGTGTTGTGTGGCAAAGTGCTATCTCAGATTCAGTTCCCTGTTGGAAAGGGCTGTCTGACAGCAACATAAAGTCATAAAATAATCTTAATAGCGTAAACCTAGACTGATGTTGATTTCTTTAAGGAGGGTAAAATACATCTTGCTGCTGCTCCCATCCACAGCCACCAGACCCCTTTGACAGAAAAGGTAATTTTACCTCATAGAACACAAGGAGTCAGTAGTTTCTGCTGCCTCTGATCTGTAAGTTCAGTAGTGTTATAGAGTGACTTTAGAAGCCAACTTAATGTGGCATCCACAGCATGAGGCTACTCTGCTTAGCTTCTGTACCCTGGTACTCCTGTCTGCTTCTCTACACTGGGAACATGCCGTCTGCCATCTAACTGTAGATACTACACTGACTGTGGATCTATTATTGTGTCTATGCATTTATTTCCATATTCATTCATTTTCCATAACCGCTTATCCTGTTAGAGGTAGCACGGGGGCTGGAGCCTATCCCAGCTGACACTGGGTGAGAGGCGGGGTACATCCTGGACAGGTCGCCAGACTATCACAGGGCTGACACATAGAGACAGACAACCATTCACATTCACATTCACACCTACGCACAATTTAGAGTTACCAATTGACCTAATGTGTATGTTTTTGCACTGAGGGAGGAAGCTGGAGTACCCAGAGAAAACCCACGCTGACATATGGAGAACATGCAAACGCACAGAGTTCGAACCAGGATCCCTCTTGCTGTGAGGCAACAATGCTAACCACTGCTCAATGTCACACTTGAGAGGAAGCTTCCACTTGAAAAACACAGAAAAAAACCCATAAATGAACCTATCCTTTAAGTTCAAGGGCACAAGTTCAGGCCTCTTTTCCTGCTCATTGTAAATGTTCCTCAGTAACGTCATGGGTGTTTTATATTTTGGCGCTAATTATGCACTTCAAACTGCGTAAAGGAAATTCAGGTACCAATTCCTCTTGTGAACATCGGAACTAAGGCGTAACGAGGGCAGAAACACATTTCTGTCTGGGGGTGTGTGTGTGTGTGTGTGTGAGTGAGTGACACCTGCAACCATGGCTCAGTGGGCAGTTTCAGTGGCTGACACTCACACACATATTAACTTGAGACAAGCAACTGATGGCCACCGAGGGACTGCTTATTCACAAACACACACACACACACAAACCCAGCAGCCTGAACCCACGGACGGTGAGAACATCCAATCCACCACTTGAGAGAGATCCAGCTTGCGCGGTGAAGCGGGGATGCTTCAGTGTAGGAGTTTAAAGATTTCTGCCAAGGGAATCCGTCAAAGTTACCGAACATGTTGCTACAGTGTTTAGCATGATTTCCAAATGATGATGATGATGATGATGATGAGGTGCTTTGACGGCTCCAAATGCATGTAACGACCATGTGTCTTCGGTGTGTGTAGACAGATTTCTTCAGCATGTGCGTGTTTGTCTTGTCACCTCATCATGAGCCAGAAAAATGTGCTGATTGATTTCTTCCTCTGCTGCACACCTGTCCTGGAAAATAAGGTTTAATTTAGGCTGCCGCTGCCTGAATTATACCAAGCTTCCCCAAGGTGTCTTCAGAAGTGTGTGCGTGCTTGTTAAGTCTGAATGATTGCGCGGCTGCCTGTGATCGCCTGTGCGTAGGTGTGTGGGTTTCTTTGCACAACTGTGAGTGTGTGCGTGTTTGTATTTTGTGCGTGTGCATCTGTGCGTGTTCGTTCCTCTGCTGGTTCTCAAGGACAAGATCACCTCCTGCTTGTTTTTATTTCTTTGAAAGACAAGGGAACATTGTGCTGCTGAAGCTCCAGCAATGAGCAACAGCAGACAGGGAGTGAGGGCTGATGAGGAGGGTGCCAGCTTCTTTACAAACACTGATGATTTAATACATCCACCTTGAAAAATCAACGATTGATCAGGACACAAAGAGGAAGAAAGACAGGGACAAAACGACATCACTTTTCCAGCCTTTTATAAATCACAGCATGTGATCTTTAGCTGATGGCTGATCAGTCAAATCAGAACAGAGAGAGTGAATGGTGCCAATCCATCTGTCAATCTATCTGACTGCACAAGTGTTACAAATTGAAAAGCCTTGAATTAGGCCTGTGTTAGGAAGTGTGCAAATGTTCACAGCTTTTCAGGCTTGTAAGTCTGAGTTGTTTGTGACCCCCCTCTGAGAAGGTTATGACCTCAGTGGACTTGAGTTTCTCTTGTCCAGTTGCTTCATCTGAAGGATTTTAGCAGCCTAGGGAAGTGAGAATATCTAGTATTTGACAAAGCAGAATTCAAAAAACATCTTTCTTAAATGAGAACAAAATGCAGAGATGTAACGCACATCAAGGGTTGTAGCAAGGAGCTGATCACTGGCAGTTCAAATCACAACAACAGTTGTGTGATTGTTGATCGTGAAGAAGGCCTGAGGGCTGAAATGTCATCATCTCAATAAAAGAGAAATGCATATGGAGCCAGAGTGTGCAACACTTGTTCTCTACTTTCAAGAAGAAATAAGACGGCAGAGTGCTGCTGTATAGTGGAGAAAGATGAAACTTGATTTAAGAATACTTTATCACGTCAAACAAATTGATTTAATTTGGAATCAAGTAGAAAGAGTCTGATTTCACTTAAGTCTTTCACTTGTTTTAAAATCAGACAACTGTACATGCCATTGATTCAGAGGTTGTCTCCACATGGCTCTCAACATGGAGGTGGCTGATGGTGATAAAGGTAAAATCTGTGCTGGCAGACCTAATGGTGTTAACTTGGAGGGAAACTGGAGGACGGACTAGATGCCTCTGGGACGACATCCATACCAGCGGTAACCACAGAATGAACGCAGTGCAGAGTGGCAGCAGTTAGCTAGCCAGTGGGATACGCACACAGAAGCTCACATGTGCTAACATGCACATGTGGCCAGACCGTTTACAAAGACCAGAGAAGCTAATGGTGTGTCTCAAATCACATACGTCCTTTAGTATTATCCAAATTTCGACAGGGTAGAGTTGTCTCAAACCAAACACGGCCGTTGTGCACTCACCGGAAATGACGACTGCAAATTAGCTAGTTAGCAAACTAGCATTAGCATTGGCGTTATCATTCGCAATACCAAATCATTACAGACTGCTAAATTAACCCAATAAACATTCTGCTGGCTTATACCCGACAACAATATAGTGGTGCTTAGCGCAAAAAAAACACATGTATTTGTACAATGCAGCGATGTTCACGGTCGCACAGTCCTCGGCCGCCATTTCCAGTTTGAAAAGTGGTCCCTCCTCTTCCGCTACGTAGCCAAGATGGCAACCATTGAGGGAGAGAAGTGTCCATAGTTCCACACTCAACTTCTTGACCGTTTTGAGTGCACCATCAGGGTACTCATAGTGCACTGCATTTTTCCATATTTCTCAGTGTGAACGCACTTATGCACTCAAAATATTAAGTGTAAGTACAGAAGTACGTGATCTGAGACACAGCATAAGTTTACAGCACACACAGACGTAGCGTGACTTCAATTTCTGCTCAGGACACCATTATGTTGTTTGGTACCTGAGTACACTTGCGTCATTATCTGTGACATTTTTGTTGTGCTACAGTGAAGGAAAGGGCAGCACAGACAGACACTGCTGCCCTGGGGACTGTCATCAGCGGGGACCAGCAGAGCAGCTCCGCTCCGCTCCGCTCCTGGCTCGAGCTGTCAAGCACAGAGCTCTCCACCTCCCATCTGATATAGATGCATCAGTATTAAAGTGAGACTGTTTAAAAACTGGTTGAAAACTCCTTGTTGTTGCGTTAAAGCAGTCCACCATGTCCTCCATGTTATGGTAGAGCTGGTGTTCACACCTGATGCATACTGTAGCAGAGTACACATGAACCGTGCACAAGACCACCTTTTCAGGAAGACTTGGGCAGGGATCGGCGTACCATGCCCAGGTAGGCTACGCAGCGTTCACGCTAATCAAATGATGGGTATGAGCTCAGGTCCCTGATGTGACAGCCCCCTACAGCCATGCTAGCAGCTCTGTGAGGTTGCACCTTTGTATATCATGGTGCTTTGAGCCAATGGTAATTACCACTTAACACTAAGTACAGCTGAGGCTGATGGGAATGTCACCTGACAAATTAAAAATTTGACCTGATGATGGCACTAGTATCAAATTCATTTGTTTCCAAGAGGCATCAATTCATCCTGAGGAGGACATGAATGTCTGTACCAAATGTTAAGGCAACCCATCCAACAGTTGTTGGGACATTTCACTCAATA